CTCTTTTACCAACGAATAGTGGGATTGACCATCACATTATAACGCCCCCACGGCTGAAAGGGCGAGCATGTTTGGTGGGATGCGGATTCGAACCCGCGACCCTCAGATTGTGAGTCGAGCGCCTTATCCACCTGGCCATGCCAGGCCCTTTTGAAAATGCCTTGGGATAATCAGAAAATTCAAAAATGAATGAGCAAGTGGGTTGTTTTGTTTACAGGCAAAACTCTTTGCAACTGTGCAGAAATGAAAATATGAACTTTATTTTTCTTTAAGAATTACACTAAAATGTCAAAATATTGATTTAAAAATATTCTTGGGTTAAAACTGTTAAAATAGTTATAATTAATAAATAAAATTCATCTGAAAAGATTTTATTAAATGACTTCAGACACAGTAACTTATAATTATGTTACTTTTTAATCCTATATTTTCTATATAAAAGTGTATCGTACATACAATGTAACTACTGTTTAACAGTTAGTAACAATAAAATATTTATTAACTTATCAATTACCTGTTGCAACAAAGTGTATACACTTTACCATAATTATAACATTTATGGAATTTGTTGGTCCTTTTTTTAACTCACCATTTAGTAACTGTTAGATAATGATATTACAGATTGCTTTTATTTAAGTTACTAAGTGATAAGTTAAATAAAAAAGACTTAAAACCATAAATTTCATATACACACCAAGAAGTTATAAGAGGCCTTACTTTATATCTTTGGTTTTCTGACCAAGCTGGGTTGATGAGCCTCTAATAATTGAAACTGTACTCCACACCAGTTTAAACATCAGCTAAGTGTCATAAACATTTATAATTTTGTTTATTCTATTAAAAGGTAAAAATGTGCAAGTCAAATATTAATAAAATAGAGGTTATTCAGGGGTTCTTTTGTTATTTACACCCTACTTTTGTCATGAGGCATTACTGGCATATAGTGAGATTCACATTTCACTTATCCTTTCTCCCACCAAGTTTTGAGCAAATTTCCTACATCACTATAATAACTAATACCTATGTGTGTGTGTATATATATATATATATATATATATTCTTGAGTTAAAACTGTTAAAATATAGTTATAATTAATATATATATACACTCTGTTAATAATGCTCCCTTTGTCAATGACATTTGTCTCTTTGGTAACATTAAAATTGATTCAGTGGTTTGTCTCAAGCAGAAATATCAATTTCAAATACCAGTTGAGTGGGGCTTTTTATAACTTTTTTTTAATTATTAAATCATCATATTTAGACCAAATATTACAATATTATGTAAAACAACTGTAACTTGATAGTTTACATTAGGGATTTGAATTATTTGTCAACATTCGATTACAAAAACTTCGTATCACAGTAGACTGTCATGTGGAAGTCTTGTGTTCAAATCCCAGTCAAGTTGGGATTAGATGTTAATTTTATTTATGATTATATATACTTTTTCTATTTATTATCATATATACAACAAGCTCTCTGAATATTCAAAAAAATAGAACTACAATTACAGATTAACTCAGGGCTAATATCATGTTACATAATAAACATCAGTGACTACAACTTAAAAATAACTTAAATATCTTTTTAACCTTATAGATGATACTACAATACATTGTTATTGATGTTTTTCACCATAGGTAAGACATTTTTTTAATTTAATCAAAAACTTTATAAGCATTTTTTACAAAAAGTTATATATTTATGCATTTGCTCTTCACCATAAAATCCATTGCCTTTATTATCACAATTAATAAATCACACGATTAGTCATTTGACTGTATAGGAATATTTCTTCGAGAATCAATTTTTCATGATTCAATATATAAGGATTTATCAAGGTTTGAACATAAAAATATACAGCAGTCAAAATTCTAATCAAAGACCAAATATACACAAAAGATGTTTTACTGAATTAATAGAAAAAGGATAAACATTCTTTATACATGTATTGTTACTATAACAATTAAGTTTTAGAGAACATGTTCATAAAACATTTACTTATATTTAATTTAAAGAAAGATTAATCAGAATTTACCATCCTATGATGGGCAGTCAGCTAGTTACTAATAAATTATACATTTAACAAATAGATATTACTACCAAACAGAATGTAAGACTAACATACAAGAAATTATTATTATAAATACCGTGTTTAAATAAACGAAAAACAACAAAAACAATTGTCAGGTTTTCTAAATATAACGATTAATATCAGAAATGATAGCTTAATCACTTTTAATTGGAACTACATTTTTTTTTACACATGACCAGCATAATCACCCACTGCACAGATATAAAAAATCGGGGTGAAACTGATCATGTTGTCTTCTGAGATCTCAAATTAAGTTAGCCCCTGTTTAAGTATATTTTGATACAAGTGGAGACCAAAAAGTAAAATACAAGATGTGCTTAGTTACAGAGGCAGTATAGGAAAAATGTTAAACCATGTCAAAATGAAGCATACTCTTTAACCTTGTAAAGGAAGGGGAGTGAGGGCAGACATATAATAATGCAAACATATGTTAGTAGCTCTACCATACAATTCTCTAATATTATTATTAATGATTGGTTCTGATCAAAACAGGTTATTATTATCATATCCTAGATGAAATTAATTTTGGCATTATTCATATTCTTATACGTTTATATAATTTACAGAAATACGCAGTATTATCATATTGGCCAGATTATAAGGCGATGTTTTTGGATTAATAATTAAGCTGTAAAATTCATATTCCCTAATAAGTGCAGCTGACCACAAGCCCCTTTCCCCTACTCTAGCCTGTTGCATTCCTAAATGTCCAGATAGCATCCGTCTACACATGTGCCCCAGATGTTCACTCAAGGTCATCACTAATTCTTGCAACTAATCAACCTCCAGAATGTTCAGTTATAATACTGATTTTGAGAACCTAGAAAAGGACATTATGACACTCAATTTTTTTCTTTCCCAAAGTTTCTGACAATGGGGAAATGGGGATTGCCTAATATTCAAGATTACCCTATAATTGGGCCAATATGGTACATTTGTATGTTTTTGTTATAGATTCTCAGTAGAATTATATCCTGAAGAATGACCTTTGAAGTCATGAAACTGTTGAAGAAATTAACAATTGTCTGATGATCCAGTGTTATGTTATTTGTATCAACATGTGAATCTTATTGGTGTTTTGGTTACACACACACAGAAGTTAACAGATTAAACAGAATCTAGAACCCCTAGTGTACAATAGTACTGGGGCCTTACATTTTGTAATTATTACTACACAGTTACTCAATCACTTTGTAACCAACCAATATGAATAGTCATAACTCATTTTATTTATTAGGCTAATGAGTATTAAGTCAAAATAAATACTTATTATATTTTTATATTATTCAGGTAGACTAAATTTCATGTCAATCAATATAAGAATTAGAATGACATCAATGTACTTTGTAAAATAAAACTTTTGATAGTTATAGCTTTATCTTACAATGTTTGAAAATTATTAAGGAATGAATGAGAATAAAACTAGAAAGTCTATTCAGATAATATAGCATTATGGTGCCAACATGTAACAATAATATTTAACCTTTCCACATTAGCTACAGTGATGTTTCATTTTTACAGTTAACTTTTGAAAAGTTAGCTGTGTAAACTGTACCCAATTTTACATATTTGTTAAATGATAGAAGAGACTTTCCCTGTAATAATATGATATTCGGGATTAATCAATGTTGACCATATGTTCCTAAAGTAACCTAAATAATTCAAAGTTAAGATAACATTAATATAATCTCAGTCAGGTTATAATCAAACAATTTCAAAGCTTATCTATAATTCTAGCAATGAATTTGATATGAAAATAAAAACAATTAATGATAAATTTTAAATTGCTTTGATTATTTATAATTATATTTAGAAGAGGAATTACAGCATTGGTAAACAGGATGCCTAATTTAAATTTTTTTTAAGTCACTACTTACACAGTCATGCCACTTGCATTTTCACTTATTTTTGCCATCAGTTATACCAAAATAATCATTCTCATGAAAGCTTTAACTTCTAAACAATGAAAATTTGATTCTGTAGTATGTTTTATGCTATAAGAGATGCAAGTGTTGTAAACAATAACAACTTTGATGAAACAAACATCTAAAGTTTAGATACATTGTTAGTATCTGGAAAAAGAAAAGGCATGGAACTGTACCAAGGCAACATTTAATATACATTCATATTGTTGTGTTATATCAGAAATAATTGGTTATTGCCTGAGGCCTTAACTGCATTGCTGTGGACTCCAGCTGTGTTGATTTCAAAAAACCTAAAAAAAATATTTTCTGGTAACTTACAGCCCAATCAAATAAAAAACATTGACACCCAATATTTCTTTTTTTTTGGTACTATATGGTAATTAACATAAGGACATCTGGCTGTTTTATATTAATTTCTCAAAAAAAAGGGGGAGGGGGAGTTTGCACACATAACAAACCCCTAGATCTGGAGCTACTTATACAACATTCAGTTATGTAATTTTAACTTAGTAAAATAACAATCTAAAAACAGTATATTTTGCACTTTATTTAACACTTCTTTAGTCAGATAGTTAACAGTTGGTGCTACCAACCAGTTGCCTTCCCTCTAGTTGGCAGCTCAAAGTTAATGACATTTGCAGATAGCCTTAGTAAGCTTTACAATAAAAAAGACATGGTTAACAGCTTCAGAGAATTGGGAATGAAATACAAAACTCTCAAATCATGAAGCACCTCCTCTCTTCATTATTTAGCTTTGTACTTAGTAGTAAACAAAAATAAAGGCAATACAGGGACAGAAATAATGAAATAAATGTACATTCACACAAGGGAAAGCTATCAGGAAGATTACATTCCCTCATGTAAAGTTGAATTTCCTCATGAATTGTTTTTTATTTAATCCATGCAATGTGTTCACTTTCATTGGTCATAACTAGAATGATATGGATGGACCATTCATTCTCAATCAGGAAAGCCAACTGAAAAGATGAAATTCCTCCAGCAAAGTTAAATCCTTTGGGAATGCAGGAATGTAATATTTTATTCCCTGCAATATTTTGATCACTTGGATAGTTGGAATAATTAAAAACAGTAAATAATCAGAAAACTAAATTTGATTAGACAATTATTTTCTTGAGATTAATTGATTAATCATAATTTTAGTTAAATGACTAGCTTATAAGACATTAATCAATGTAATCGCTGCTCATAGATAATAAATTATACCGATTAATCAATTAAGTCTCCTAGCTCTATGCAGAGCATGTAGACATAGAATAGTTATCTATAACACATATACTTCATTATTGAATAACTTACCTCAGAGCATGTCTCAACAGAACAGTGTTCTGTAGTACATCTTTTGAAATCAGGCCAAAATGGACATCCACGTTCCAAGTTTACCTATATATATCAACAATGAAATAAGGGAAGGAATACTATATAAAGAAATACACCACAATATATACACAAGAGTACAATTTATGTTATCAATAATTACTCTATATCTTTTCAATTCATCTAAGAATCTTCAAAGTTTTTTCTAGTATATTTTATGAAGAGGAAAGTTGACAGAAGGCCATTTATTTCATTTCTCCAGACAAATACCTAACCCATGTTAATAACACAAAACATAATATCATGCAAATCGTTCTACAAGCTTATTTATATCTATAATAGGACTACAAGCATATATAGTTCTTGATAAACCACAGCTAATGATTTATCTCATATGTCCAGCTTCTGAGGTTAAACAGTTTTTGTAATCCCCTAAAAATTTTAAATTCTGATTCACTTTAAGCCCACTCTGATTCTTTTATACTGTTACGTATCTGTTTTTTGTTTGTTTACGGTAGAAATTATTTCCGAGGATCTTCAGCGATACAAGTCCTTTCTTGATTAAACCAGTTTATTCTTCCTTGAAACAAACTTTTAGTACACAAAAGTTCCACAATCAGTACGTTTCTCGTCACTTTAAACTTAACAACTTTTAAAATACGCGCTATAAATTACAGAGATTCACAATCTCGATAACTTCACTCTTTACGGCTCACTAGCTCAAAACCAACAGAATCATAAATTACACGAAACTCAAAGTAACTACTGCTCTCTCTTCATTCATGCCTGCTGGCTTTCTCTGCCAGGCTTATATACTAAGGAAGAGGGCATCTTGAACACACTTGGACTTCCCCGATCATTCCAGAATCTCATCATACACGCTACCAGCGCCAGCAGCGTCACATGACTTTCGCTGTCATAACAATACTTCTGCTAGGAAACACTCTTATCTTGAGTCTCTTAAACAACATAATTGCATTATTTTAACAAATATAAATATTTGTAACAGATTTCCAAAACTTTTGAATCAATCTTACCAGATCTAAGATTGCTTGCAAATGCACTAGCAACTACACAAAAATCAAGATATTTAAAACTTGTATAGGTTTCAGTGCAGAAAAATTTCATTTTACAGTCCTTTTGTCCATCTTATTCTACAATCAAATCCTGATAAACCAGGTGTTGTGATTAAGTTAAAATGCATACACATTTATTTACAGCTTAGTTTAAAAATCTGAAACCAAAACCAAAGAAAGCAACAGCTGTCACTAAAGCTTCTGATTATTTGCTTTAAACCATTTTTTTTTACTAACCCTACCCACAAATTTTAAACTTAAACACTTATTGACATAATCTTTCATTTTTTCAGAAATCACAGTTTTAAATAAATAATTCCTGATGTAAAATTATAATATCTAATTATTTCTCTTTTTAGAGTTTGGCATATTGAATGAGGACCTTGGTCAACCAAATGAGATTTTCTTTTCTTTATTTTTTATGTTCGAAGACTGCAAAGTGTTGTTACATTTGGAACCTTTTTTCATGTCTCCAGCTCTTTTCCACTCTGAACAAAACACACTTCACAATCTCCATGTTTCCCTTTACAGCTTCAACTTATTATTATTATTTTATTCTCACCCTGTAAAACCTGAAGAAATCTTTCAAGAGAAGACTATTGAGGCGAGGATATATCTTCAAGTTGTTAAAGTAGTCAACTGTGTTTACACTGCATTCACAATCATCAATTTGTCCTTCTAGCTGTGAGAAGTAGAAGTACACGCCACATCAACATTACAGCATATAAATATGGAATGAACAATAAAGTTAAAAATCTATTAGTATTTAAATATCATCCCATTATTCAATGGATTTCTACTTTGTTACATGTAAAATG